TTTTATTTTCTACAAATCCAAATCACATGAAATTTTAAACGTGTGTTTATAAAAAATAGATGAATCTTTGAAAAATATCAAAAACTTATTTTACATGAAATAAATTGATCAAATACCCTCGAAACATTTCGGAAGGTATTTTGATCAATTTTGAATAATTTTTTATATTTTTATTAGGTGCGTCTTGATGAGAAGAACACACACCTAAAATTTCAATGATTTAGATTTGTAGAAAAATAAATAAAATTCAAGTGCTACCAAACATCCGTGATCGTCAGATCGGCCTACAACCCACTAATTCATATGAACATATAAGCTCAACGGCCCAGATTGAATCTAGACCAATCTGACGGCCACAACCTCATTTTATGTTTGAATTTTATTTTTATTTTTTTTACAAATCTAAATCACTTGAACTTTTATGCATGTGTTCTTCTCATCAAGGCGCACCTAATAAAAATATATAAAAAAAATGTTCACATAAATAATGACCAAAATACCCCCAAAAACTTTTCAAGGGTATTTTGGTCAATTTATTTAATGTAAAATATTTTTTTGATATTTTTCAAAGACTCAACTATTTTTTATGAACACAATTTCAAAATTTTAAGTGATTTAGATTTTTTAAAAAAAAAATTAAATTCATGCACTATTGGACATCCGCGATCGTCAGATTGGCCTAGATTCAATCTGGGCCATTGGGCTCATATGTTCATATGAGCAAGTGGATTAATCCTAGCTTTTTCTATATATATATATATATATATATCTGCAAAACACTACGTAACGCCTATAAGAGAAAATGAATAGTGATTTCACCTACCCCCATCACCGTCCGAAGTTCATCGTGTGGTCACGATTGTCCAATAGTATTTTACTATTTATTTGTTTTCTACAAAATGAGAATGACCTGAAATTGGAGCATGTATTCATAAAAAATAGTGGAATATTTGAAAATTATAAAAAAATATTTTACATGAAAAAAATTGATCAAAATACCTCTGAAAAGTTTTAGGGGTATTTTGGTCAATTTATTTTTAAGGGGTAAATATTTTTTATATTTTTATTAAATGAACTTCAGTAAGATATACATACCCTGCAAATTTCAAGTCATTCTGATTTGTAGAAAAAAAAAATGAAAAATAAAACACTACCGGACAATTGTGACCGCGTGATGAAATTTGAACGGTGATGATGGTAGGCGAAATGACTATTCATTTTCGTCTGCAGGCGTTGAAAAGAATTTTTCTACATATATATATATATATTTATTTTATTTTATTTTTATCGGTCCAATCGGGTCTTATCGTGTCCAGGTCTGGCCAAACTCAACGTGTTGCCACCCCTCTCTGAGAAGTTATCTCTTAAGTTAGTGCCTATTAGGGCAATATACGGTCGTTTTGGGGCTGCAGGTAGGAGAAAGTCCACACATTGTACATCAAACGATGAACTTAGGATCCCGCTTGTGGAAGAAATGGCTCCTGCCTTTGTTTCAAAAGAAGATTTTTTATTGATGGAATAGAATGGCCTCAGTCATCAATGCAAACAATTGCGTCTTTCTCTGTCCAATGACTTGGAGATGCAGTTGTCTCTCTCTCTTGACATGGAGAGGACCCACACGTCTTCTCTCTCTTAGATGGTTTTAAGAGGGCCTGACTTTCTTTCTACATTTGTCATGGAAATTTTTTTACTCAATTACATCAATGCATTGTGCCTATCTTCATGTATAGAAACTCCATCTTTCTACATGATTTAGGGGTGTGCCTTCTTGGATTATTTAAGATGGATACCTCAAGTAAATTGTACCAAGTAAATTGTACCAAAATACAAATTTAATTCTTTCACATTAATAGGCAGGAAATTGGGGAGGCAAAGGACCACAAATGGACAATGGTGACCACATTTAGAGGGAAAAACTTGACAACACTTGAAAAATCAAATAATGTTTGGGAAATTCCATATAATAGGGCCTAAAATAAAGTTTACTTCAAATTTTCTCACTATTAAGTTTACTTCAAATTTTCTCATTACTAATTAAATAGGATCCTCCTAAAAGAATGTCTTTAGAAATGCCCAATTTGCTCTTGGTTTGGGAACCCTCAATAATAAGCCAAGGCCTTTTAGTAATTATAAAAATTGTGAGTTGAATGCAGAAATTAATGCAGGAAGGTTTACATGAGAAAAGAAAAAATTGTTGGAGATGATGGAAGCAATGTGGGAAAATTTGATGGGCAAACACATTGGCCTTTAAATTTCAAAGATAATCGGAAGTCAATAAAAGTCACCAAATTCTGTTAAAAAAACAAAAAAAAAAAAAAAAATAAAGAAAAAAAAAAGAAAAGAAAAGAAAGGTCATTGAAAGTCATCAAAAGCCAAGTCTTCAACTCCTCTCTTCAAGGAAACGGGAAAAGAAGTCGGTTCTAAATTTGAACCTTAGAAACAGAGATAAAACAAAACATCAAAGTAAAAAACAATTTTACACACGACAATAAAATTCTCAAAATATGAAATATTTTTTAATGGAAAAAGTTTATATAGTGCCCAAGGCTCTAAACAATCAAATTAGAGCCCACCTCAAAACATTCATGAAAAGAGGTAGTTTTGATGCTCAAATATCCTCAAATTGATCCTCTCGTCATCAAGATGCATGGATATGAGGGAAAAAAATGCCTTTTAAGTTTTGAAAATAGTGTATCTTGTAAAGTATTTTAGGACCGTCAATTTTCATGATTTTCAAATTTTCGTATATCTACTCGATCTACACTATTTTTTAATCTTTAAAATTTTTAATTAAATATGAAAATATATTTAAAGGTATCATAAATATTTTCAATTTTGAAACCATATTTCTCGACAAGATTGTTTAGAGTCTCGGTTCTATACAAACCGCACCCAATAATAAATGCAAATAAATTAGCTAACTGTATCAGTCAAACTGAGATTCAGATTTGTAGAGCAAGTGCTGCTTTTTGGTTTCCAAAACAAGTATGAGGATTTGGATAAGATGGATTCAAACAATCCTGTCAAAATTTTCTATTGGAACGATCAGTTAGGACCCAGCTCCGACTCAAATAATGCCAAGCCTAATAATAATTATCTAAGTAATATTGAATATTATATATTTTTAATAACATTTTATTGATATTTAAATAAATAAAACTATATGTTTTAGTTATAATATTTAAATAGTACTTGTATATATCTAATATAATACTTAAAATAAATTTAAATATATATTTTTTTATTTTTGGGTCGGGTCCAATCAGGTCTGCTTAGATCCGGATCCGGATCTACGTCTAATTTTGTGTTACTCAATCACCTGGTCAGTGCATAGTGGATATCTTTCATGTGTAGAAATTGTATGGGAAACAATCGCACATGGCACATGGCACATTGCACAGCTGATAACGAAGTTCTTTAAATTGATCATCTCGAACTCAAGATGTAATGTATGGAGATGAAGAAAAAAATGATTTTAAGTTCCAAACAAGTCATCTAGACCGTCCACTTTTAAGATTTTCAAGTTTTTATTAAAAATTTGAGTTTCAACTATTTTGGAACTTTAAGATTTACGATTGGGAGTGGAAATATATTTTTAGTCCATCAAATAGATATCTAATGCGAGAATGGACGGCTTACTTTGATTATTTCAGGTGGATACCTCAGGTAAATTGTAGCAAAATACAAATTTTATTCTTTCAGGCAGGCAATTGGGGAGGCAAAGGAAAATGGCGACCGCATTTAGAGGGAAAAACTTTTTATACTATATAAGATGGCATAACCCCTTACAAAAATCATTAAATGGGGAAAAAAAAACATCTTAATTATTTAAGAAGTTTATTTCAAAATTTCTCACTATTAATTAACCAGGCACCTCTTTAAAAAATAATTTTAAGAATGCCCATTTTGCTCTTGGTTTGGAAAACTTTGGGTATTTTAGTAATTTGACCTACCTAAGAGGCCTAACACAAATGACAGGAGTATCCCTACTTGTTCAGGGTGGATCAAATTATTAAAATGCTTCTCTTTGTTTAGGGTTCCCAACCCTAAACAAAGGAATTAGGGCATTTTTAATATATATATATAATTAGGAAGAAATCTGAGTAAAATGAAAATTAAAAAATAAATCGAGACATTTTTGTCTCGATAACGTTTGCGATGAGTTTTGACCCCTTAATGATATCTTGGTGTAATTCTTAATATGCATTCTTTTCTTTGTTTCATTTGACAACCCCGCTGTTTTCTTGGGCGCACAAACTTTCCCCAAATAAATTATATATTTTTCTCCTTTAGATGAAATTTTTTATTTAATGATGCAGAGATCTAGATGAAAATGAGTTGATTAATTATAGGAATCATGAGTAGATGGCGGAAATTAGATGCGTGAAGGTTTAAAGTTTAGCGCACTACATATTTTTCCAACTAATCTACAACTCTACTCTAATATTAGGAAAACGTTTATATAGAGTCGAGGCTCTAAACAATCAAATTAGAGCTTACATCAAAAATTTCATTAGAAGAGTTGGTTTTGATGTCCAAATATCCTCAAATTGATCATCTCGACATCAAGATGCTTGGACATGAGAAAAAAATGGATTTCTAGCTTTAAAAATAGTGTATCTTGTAACCTATATTTGGACCCTCAAATTTCAAGATTTTCAAGTTTTCGTAGATATGTTTGATTTATGTTATTTTTGAAACTTTAAAATTTATAATTAAAGATAAAAAAATATTTTAAGCCTGTTATAAAGATTTACAGTATTGAAAATACATTTCTCGACATTACGTGAAAGTGTGCTTTACTTTGATTGTTTAGAGCATGTTGTGAGTCTCAGAGTATATAGGACACCATGGAAGATCAATGGATATACAAACTCCGTAATGCTGAATGCCTCTTCCTTAAATAGACTCAGCCAGCTGCAACGTTTGCAGCTGAGCTCTTTTGCTGGTGTGTTGCCCATAAAAGGTGAGTCTCGTTCAGTTGACAGATTTATACATATTCTCTGCATCGTTGTTTCGTGATAGGTGATAGTAATTACTGAGCTCTCAAAATTTTCGCATGGTTATTTTATTATGGTTGCAGATCTCTCAAAGCTCAAGTACCTGCGTGAGTTAATCTTGGTTTCCAATGAATTTAGTGGAGGAATTCCTGAGGAGGTGGGTTTGCTCTCTTCCCTTCAGAAACTTGATCTAAGGAATCAGCATCAAGGACCCATCCCGGCATCCATTGGTGGCCTAACATTTTTGGTTGAGCTGCGTTTGTCCCGTCTCAATGTTCTACAACTAGATGGGAATCAACTTTCCGGTAGCATACCAGAATCTCTTGGCAGCCTATTATCATTGGAATGGCTTGACCTCGGCGAAAATAAACTTGAAGGGAGCATACCATCAACTCTGATTAACTTGTCCCGTCTCAATGTTCTACAACTATATGGGAATCAACTTTCCGGTAGCATACCGGAATCTCTTGGCAGTCTATTATCATTGGAACAGCTTGACATCGGCGAAAATAACTTGAAGGGAGCATACCATCAACTCTGGGTAACTTGTCCCGTCTCAATGATCTACTACTATATGGGAATCAACTTTCCGGTAGCATACCAGAATCTCTTGGCAGCCTATTATCATTGGAATTGCTTGACCTCGGCAACAATAAACTTGAAGGGAGCATACCATCAACTCGGGGTAACTTGTCCCGTCTCAATGGTCTAGAACTATATGGGAATCAACTTTCCGGTAGCATACCAGAATCTCTTGGCAGCCTACTTTCATTGGAATGGCTTGACCTCGGCGAAAATAAACTTGAAGGGAGCATACCGTTGTCTATTGCCAACCTCACCCTCCTTTACTCTTTGAGTGGTCTTCTTCTCAATGATAATGACTTGTCAGGTGATTTCTCCTTCACATTCTTTGCAAACGTTTCTAGCCTCAAATATGCCCACCTCTCTGCAAACCCTAAGCTAACCATTTCCCACAACAACTTTACGCCTGCTTTCCCGCTTCATTGTCTCAATTTGTCATCGTGTGACATGAGAAGGTGCGACTTAAGTTCTCCAGGCTTTCTATCGACTCAAAACCAGTTAGTCACTGTCGATCTCTCAAAGAGCAACATTTTTGGGAATATCCCCTCCTGGTTACTCGAAAACACTGGAGAATTGTTGTTGGATGGGAAGTTGCTCACAGGAGTACAATTTTTGCCTAACATATCTTACGATCTCAATAATTTGGATATCTCTAACAACCCAATCAGTAGGAATTTCCCAAAAAATTTCTCTATTTATTTTCCAAATTTGCAATCACTTAAAATGTCCCAGAATTTCCTTAATGATGACATAATGTTTTACATCAATGTTTTACATCAATGGCTTTAAGGGATTGGCAACAACATCTCAGGAAATTTGCCTTCCATTTTCCCCTATAAGCTCACAATTTTGGACTTATCAAACAATAAAATCACTGGAGAAATACCCCCCAATTTGACCAGAGGACATGACCTCATGTTTTTGAACCTGTCTAAGAACTCCTTGAATGGACCCTTGCAATCCAAACACTTCAAATTACCAAATTTGGTATCACTCCATCTAGATAACAATGCATTCAATGGAACCAATCCGAGGAACCTGTTGTTGTTTAGTCCAAATCTAACTCTTTTAATTCTTGCAAATAATGAGATATCTGGTCCCATGCCAATTGAATTATTTGGGCTTTTGGAATTGGAAGTGCTATTGTTGAGAGGCAATTTTTTCGATCATATTCCACTCAAATTGTGTCAAGTAAAAAGTTTGGCCGTCTTGGATTTTTCCCAAAACAACCTTGAAGGTCCCATACCTCCTTGCTTCAATAATTTTTCTGCATGGACAAATGCATCCTTTATTGGTTCCATTTCATCTCGTTATAATCCATTTTTGACCTTTTCTATCAAACTTGGTTCCGGGGCCCGAATAGATCATAAGCTTTGCACAATCTCACAAGAGAAGGTGGAATTTACAAAGGGAAATACATATAGTTATCTCGAGGATGCTCTTAAGTACATGACCGGTTTGGATTTGTCGGAAAACAAATTAAGTGGCCCTATTCCATTAGACATGGGGCTTTCAAAAGAACTTGCCATGTTGAATCTCTCCAACAATCTTCTAACAGGTCCAATTCCCAAATCCTTTTGAGGGTTATTGGGTCTCTCAACATTAGATCTTTCTTACAATGCACTCTCTGGTGAATTTCCTTCTCAATTAACAAGACTAACCAATTTGTCCATCTTTTCTGTTGCAAATAATAATCTATCCGGTGAGATACCAGACACAACACAATTCTGTACTTTCAATGAGAGTTCTTTTAGTGGAAAGCCAAACATGAATACAGAAGGAAAGAGGTGTTCGACAACTCTGTCATCAAATGTGCCAACTGCATTGAGAGATAATGATGGTGAAGATGAAGATGAAGATGAAGGATAGGAAGGGTGGGTAGAGATGACACCTGCGTTCTATGCTTTCATTGCCTTGGGTTATGCTATGGGGAGCACTAGCCTTTCTTCTTTTTGGCAACAAGAGAGGACATACTTGTGAGAGGGCCATGGACACAGTAGTCTCCCGACTTTTTCGTGCATTTTGCCATAAACATTAGAGTCATTCGACTTCTTCTCCTGTTCACACACAATAATCCAATGGGCAACAATGTTACCATGTGGCACAATTACTCTATTGTAGGGTAGTAAGATATGTAAAGGTTCGGTCAAACGGTCGTTTTTTATTCATTTCCAAATTGCCTATTGGACTGAGGATCTTCGGACTGCTTGTTATTTTTTATTTTAACTTATTTTTTTCTAAAATAAGGCTGTAGAGTCTTATTTAATGTGGTCCAAAAATGCCAACGGGGTTATACCTTTGAAATAATAGAACAAAATCCGAACCTAACACAACTGGGTTTAGAGAATATGAAGGCCATAAGATGGAATACGAGATCACGCATGGACGTAAAGCTACATTTTTAGGTAATCTTGGTGTATCAATGTGTCTCTCAAGAACTTCTTTCTTCCCACCATTAATATATCCAAAAAAAAAAAAAACAACTTTTCAATTGCAAAATTTGACTTTCAATTTAGTTTTCAAGGCACGGTCTTGCTTAAGGTAAATTATAACCATATTTTTCTCTTTTAAATGAAGAGGAGCATGAACTATTATTTTACGACCAGGGCACTAGGGAGGAAGGATTTTCTTGATTTAAAATTTTTTACAAAAATAAAAAAATAATAAGCTAGATCTTAAAAGCTTGATCTGACCATCCAAAACCTAGCAAATGAGCATCCAAATCTGAAAATGAGCTGCAAAAATGTTTTAACGTGCTGCGATCCAACTTGTGAATCGCTGATCCAGGCTGGGAATCAGCAGGGACTGAACTAGTTTTGTAAAGGTATCAGTTATAGCCGGTTCCCACATAAAATTCCTCATTTCACATTTCTTTTGTCCTTTTTTTTTTATGCTTATCTAATGTTTCTTTAGTTCCACCCTATTTTTATTTTTATTTTTTAATATTTTTCTAGATTGCCGATCCAGTTATCTATCACAAATTTCTGTGGTGGACCATTTACCCCACCGATTGAGGTTTTAAAATCCTAGTCCATAAAAAGCCAATTTGAAGGTGCATGAGAACATAGTTCCAAGGGTTACATCAACAGGCAAGTGCAACCGCTTTTTTCTTAACAGGCCTCATGATAACTTTCTTTTAAGAAAATAGACCTTAAAATATTTTATTTTTGAGTTTAGCACTCCACCTTTTTATAGTGAGCCAAATGGAGCTATTTGCCCCTCATAAAAGAAAAATGTTAAAAGTTTTTTTTACCTTCCATGCCTTTCCTATTTATAAAAAATATTTTATTAATTTAAATGAGATTTTGTTTCATTTTTTGGACCAAGAGAAACTAAAAAATGAGGGTAATTTGTATACGATGACAATCCATGAGTATAATTCTTAAAAATGGTGGCGTATACGTAGTATTCCCTAAAAATATATCTTATTACAATAGCATATATCTATAAATTTAATTATAAATAAAAGCCTAAATTTTTCAAGGAGGTGGCCAAATCCACTGCGTGATTCCCTTGCTTAAATTCATGGGCAATCTTGGAGTACTATATTCTTTTGTATTTTCAAATAAGGTCTTTGCAACCTTAGAACAATATGTCACTCCAACCTTATTGTACAGGGCAAAGTTTATATAAGGGTAAGGTTCTAAATAATCAAATTAAGGTGTACTTCGAAAATTCACTCGAAGAGGTTGCTTTGATGCTGAGTAACTCTCAATTCTATCATCTCAAGCTGAAGATGTATAGACAAGAGATAAAATAGATTTCAAGTTTTAGAAATAGTGCATCTTGTAACGTATTATTAGACCGTCAATTTTTAACATTCTCAAATGTTCGTAGATTTGTTAGGTCAACACTATTTTTTATTATTTAAATATTATAATTAGAGATAAAAGTAAATTTTAAAGTCATTACTAATATTTTGTATACTGAAACAACATGAAGGTGTGCCTTACTTTGATTGTTTATATGTTCAACCTTATACAAACCACACCCTTTAATAAAAGATCTATTACATTTTTGTTTATGTCGACAGAAGAGGAGGGTGCTGTTTGTATATGTCTCACCTTTAAATAGTTGAAGTAAGGTGCATCGCTAAATCAGTTCAGAATACGTAATTTTGGACTCACTTTGATGGCCCAAAAAATCTATTTCGACATCTACGTATGAAATTTAAAGTTATTTGTAAAGATAGAGCCGATCTATAAATAATTGAACATCTTAAAAATAGACTTTTTTAGATAATATGTTACAAGCTGCATTATTGTCAGAACTAGAAGACCTTCGTATCTATATATTTCAAGGTTTTTACCAATTTTCCAAGGAGTTTTTAAAGTGCGCATTACTTTCACAGTTAGGAGTGACAACTGGTCGGGTCAGGGTTTAGTAATTCTGGCCAAAATTTAGACCCATACCCAGACCTGTTGGGTCCCTGTGACAATAATAATGTATGTCAATATTATGACAATATTGTGACAATATGAACATCTAACGCGTGCATAACGACACATGATTGCAATCATATATCCTATGACTATGGGTACGGGTCGGGTTCGGCTGGACTCAGACTCGGACCCGAATAGTGCTAATGGTGAATCGTGCGAAGATGCCTCTCACTCTGAAATGGATTTACACAATAAATAGTATTATTGCTAAAATTGTCCATTCACATCAAAGGCTTCTTGAATGCATCGGGATTGTATTTTCTGCCATAATCTATGTTTTTATATTTTAAAAAAGATGAAGTTTCTATAAGGCCTAGGATTTTATGAAAAAAAATATAGCTTCACCTCAAATCCTTATTCGGAAAGTCACTTTTGGTAACGAAAATCTCCATGATGGATCTAAAGTCAATTTCCAATACCGACAATAAAATTTGAAACAACAAAAATGATACAGAACTTGTGGATCTATGGACATATATTTTTAGGATGAAATGTATGGTCTAAATAATTTATTATAATATATATTATTTTCTAGAGCTTAAAATCATAATTTCTTTTTACAACCATATCGTTCAAGCCTAGATAATCCATGTAAAAGTTTTCCAATGCTTGAATTGTAAATATTGAGACTTCACTTAGTTTGATAGAGCTGCAACCCTATCAAATTATTTTCCTTTTTAAAACTTCCCCATCTCTTAATCATTTTTTCTTAAAACCATTTTTTTTCAACCCTAACAGGATCTTCTCCACAGTGTATGCCCAATGGTCAGATTGAATCTGAGCAGATCCAATACTCATGATTGTATTCCGTACTTAAATTTTAAGAACTACAAATCACTTGAAATTTTGAATGTATTTTTTTTTTCTCTTTTTCCTTTTTAAAAAGGAGAATCTATTATCAAAAAATAATTTGACTAAAATACCCCTGAAAATTTAAATTTTACAAATTATTCTTTAACTATTTTTATTAAGTGTGCCTTCATGAAAAGAATGGATGCTTGAATTTTCATGTGATTTGAACTTGTATAAAAAATATCAAAAGGATATTACGAAATGAGGTCATGACCAATAGATTGGCCCAGATTCAACCTAAGCTGTTGGGCATATATTCTAGTTGTCAGCTAGTGAGCTAACATGACCTCATATATATATATATGGATAATCAAAACTTCACAACCATTCTAATTACAAATGTTCAAGATAGAGAGAGTTGTGAAGGGTGGATTTTTTATTAATTTTCTAGTCTATTTTTAAATGAAGTTACTTTTACGGGGCAATTTTATAAAAGCATTATTACAAGATAAATGGTACTTTTGTGATCTTCATAAGGGGTAAAATTGAAAATTTTAACTAAAAGACAATGCACTCTACAAATAAAGTACCAGCATATTAACTTTCAAAAGTCCATTGTACTTTTGTGAAATATTTAAACTTGCCCTTGCTTGATGGTAAAGTTACCTATTTAAATAATTTTTTAATAAAAGAAATGATTATTTTGATAAATACACCTATCACAACCCCTTCAAATTTGAACCATATATATATATATATATATATAAAACTAACAATAGCTGGCCAGCTATAATGAATAGTAATATAGGTAGAATGAGAGCCGTCAGATCTTCATCATGCGGTTCAAAATGCATATCACTGTTTTAATTTTAATTATTTTTTTATAAATCAAATCATAATTAAATTTTAGACATGGGTACTAAAAAATAGGGGCACAAATAAAAAATATAAAAAATATTTCCCA